CGGGAGGCCCCCCCATGCTCCTGAGTGATCATAGAGGGGCCCCGGCCAAGGTCAAGATGGTCGTTGTTGCCCCCTCTCGGGGACTGGGGACTGGGGACCAGGGACCGGACTGCAGGGTAAATAGATTGAGGTCCACACCCCTGTTCTGACGCTGGGGGCTGTGATGGGCAACCTGCTGGCCTCCTCTGGGCCCAGCTCCCTTCTGTGCGGGGCCATGGCCATCCCCGGACAGAGGAACACCCTGAGGGCCCTGGTGGCCAAGGTGGACTCCGCAAATCAGCACTGAGGATGCCAGTGACCCTGGGGTTTTGTTTGTGTTTGGCGTCAGTCACCCTGTGTGCCCTGAGAGCGCCTGTACCAGAACTTATTCGTGGTTTCTGACGTTCAAGTTCGCGGGCGTCCTGTATTTGAGCTGCCCCTGGGCCATCGTGTGCGTGTGGATGCAGGAGCAGAGGAAGGGCCAGGAAAGTGCCTGCTGGGTGTGGGCTCTCGGGGGCTCCTCCTGCCAGCGCCTCACCTGCCTGCCCCCCTTCACCCTCTACCCTCCCTACCTCCCACCTGAGGTGCCTGACCCAGTTCCCAGGCCGGGTTAGGGGAGCAGACAGGGGCCCCTCCTCGCCCGCTGGGCTCTCGCTTACCTTTGCTGCGCTCACTACTGCCAAGCAGCAGGCGAGGCCTAAGACAGCCAGCTCCAGGCGCCCCATGGTGCGTGTGCCTGTCTTGGTGGCCCTGCCTGTGAGAGGGGTATTTATGGGGTGGGAGACATCCGGGAGACATCCGGGAGCCGGACTGGCAGCTGCCTGTGGATGGTTCCCTTCTCCTCCCCTCACTCTGCCCCTCCCTCCAGGCAGGATACCTGGGGCCAGGATAGCTGCATTCCAGCCAGGCTCAGGGCCAAGGTCATGCAGGTGTGTGTACACACACACTCAGACACACACACACACACACGCATAGCTGCCCTTTTCTGGCAGGTCAGGCAAGGCCAAGGTCACAGAGGTGTGCGCGTGTGCGCGCGCACACACACACATCAACACACACACACACACACACACACACATGTGCACGGTACAGGGATGGTCCTCCTTGCCCGTGATCTGCTGTTCCCGGGAGCCTGGTGCCCTCAGTGCACCTGGGCTGGTAACTTGTAATAGTCAGGTGGCCCAGGCCAGGGGCTGAGGGTTGGGGCCTTGGTGGGTGCAATTGTGGCTCATTGACAAGGGCCTGGGCTCACCCTCAGAGAAGGGGGCCTGCTTCCCTCCAGGCCTGTCCGGCCCCCTCCTGGAGCTCCGGAGCCCAGCAAAGGGAGTTCACAGGGGACTGGGCATGTCGACTCGGACAGAGAGGGCTCTGTGCTCCTGGGCAGCCACGTGGCTGAGCCTGGGTCCGAGGGCCCACGGGTGTGCAGTCCGAGCTGGGTGTGGGGACCCAGAGCAGCACAGGGCGGTCCTGCCCTCAGGGAGGGCACCCCTCACACTCAGCACCAGCAGCCCTGGAGGGAGGACTGGAGGCTCGGGTGGGCACAGGTGTGGAGGGAAGGGGGCTCCCGCCCAGCCTGGGGGCTTCCCTGAGGAAGAGGAAGGGCCTGGCTTCAGAAATGTACCACGACCTGGGGCACAGAGAGAGATAGAAGGTGGGACAGACAGAGGTAGAGACAGAGAGACAGAGGAAGGGAGAGAGACAGACAGACAGAGGGAGAGACA